CCATGTAATTGTAACCCCTCTGTACAGTATTTTCACAATAAAAATTAAAATTAAAAAATAAATATATTAATAAAAAAAAGAAATAGTCACAACACTCTCAAAAGTTGTTTGTTCCTAGGCAAGGTATACATGCCTGAATGAACCAAAAATAATCCATCAACCTCAGGACCACTATGAGACTAGATGTGACAAAGCAAACAAAGTGTTGGAACTAAGTCGAGCACACAGATTACTTTACAATTTCCACCTGCTGCTACTGTCATTTTTGTTAGCATTAGCTGTAAATGTTGTCATTTATTTGATCATATCCTACACATTACTATGTAGCAGTGTTGTGGTTGGAAGAACATCAGATTACATATCAGAGGAGTCCAGGGCGTTTCACATGACAGCTGAATAAAAATGAGCAAATTCTTTTTTTTTTTTGGTCAGTTGTGGGACTTGAACTCTGGGCCTTGGATGTTGTCCTTTAGCTCTTCAGCTCAAAGCTAGCATTCTACCACTTGAGCCATAGCACCACTTCCAGTTTTCTGGTGATTTCTTGGAGATAAGAGTCTCACAGACCTTCCTGCCTGGGCTGGCTTTGAACTGTGATCCTCAGATCTCAGCCTCCTTAGTAGCTAGGATTACAAGTCTGAGCCACCAGCGCCCAGCTAAAAATGAGCAAATTCTTTGAACATGTTTGTAAGATCTTATTTGGATAATATGTACCTTATGATAATTATAGACTATAAAAAACTATAAATATCTAAGGTACTGCTATTATTTTTTATGAAAAATACAGGCAAACACAGGCATAAAGGTGTTTAAAAAGCAAAAGAGATTTGTCTGATTGACTCCAAGAGATATACTGTAAGAAAAACCTGTATCTATATAGCCACTGCACTATGGTAACAACAGAGATAAGTTCTGAGAAATCTATCATTACATAACTCCATCGTGTGCAAGTGTCTGAGTCTGTTTACCCAAACTCAGTGAAAACCTCCTGTACACCTAGGCTACATGATATTAGCTACTACTCCTAAGACAAACCTATAAAACATATTACTTATAAAACAACTGTAACACAGCAATATTTATATAGTTAAAAATACCTGGAACAGAGAAAAGTACAGGAAAAATATTAGGAACAGTTTTTCTACCCTAACGTGATCTCATGGGACCACTATCATACCATATATCAGTCTGACCACTGATCAAAATATGGTTACAGTATGAGACTATACTCATTTAGAAAAAGAGACCAATATTCACAAGTACTCACCTTTACTATTGTTTTAGGGCGTTTTTTAAAAAATAGTTTTGGCTTCTCTACCACAGGAAGAGGTGGGAGTTTTTTAAGCTCCTGTAAAACAGTGGTTGCAGCACGTTTCTTAGACAGTTTTTTGCTATTTCCCTCTCCTTCTGCAGAGAACTCTCCCACTGACACCCGCGTAACAAAGCTCTTCATATGAGGTGGTCCACTTTCTTTAATAACCTATTAAATACAAGTAAACATTAAGCAGGCACTTTGTGCTCTTAAGACATGTATCTTTCTTAATATTCTTATCACGATCAAACTCATATTAAGATCTAAGCCAAAATCATAGTATTTCTTTCAAAAGCTTTATGTAAGTATGATACCAGATACTTAATGAAGTTGAAAAAAAATAAACATACACACTCAATTCATTTAAAACAAGAAGTTATAGTTATAGTTTCTTCCCAGGTCTTATAGAACACAAAGCTAAGGACAAAAAATACAAAAATCAGATTAGATTAGATTAGATTAGAAGCCATAAAATAGTGACAAATTTTCTATAACTATGAACATACCTAATGTTCTCCTATACCAGGGTAAGTTAGTAATGTCTTTCTGTATTCTACAACCCATAAAGTTACCTTAAAAAACAACCTTAAAAAGCAACTTGTAAAAACAGGTGAGCTGGGCGCTGGTGGCTCATGCCTATAATCCTAGCTAGTCAGGAGGCTGAGATCTAAGGACCAAGGTTCAAAGCCAGCCCAGGCAGGAAAGGCCATGAGACTCTTATCTCCAATAAACCACCAGAAAGCCAGAAGTGGTGACGTGGTTCAAGTGGTAGAGTGCTAGGCTAGCCTTGAGCTGAAGAGCTGAGGGACAGCTCTCAGGCCCAGAGTTCAAGCCCCACAACAGACCAAAAAAAAAAAAAAAAAAACAGGTGATAACTGAAAATTAACCTCACAGTGCTAGAGATTTCAAAGACTTCACAAAGGAAAAGTGACTCATGAAATATAATCTTAAAAAGGCACAAGATATGTCTAAAAATACCTAGCTTTTAGAAAAAGGAATTATAAATCTTTCAGCTGTGAATTTTTCTAAACTCTAATTTGTTCTTACTTCTTTTTTCCAGTACCCAATTTGAATTCAGAGCCTCAAGCTCACTCAGCTGGTGCTCTGCCACTTAAGCCATGCCTCCAATTAGGCTTGTTGTTAGTTATTCTGGAGATGGTATCTGGTGGACTTCTTCCCAAACTGGCTGTGAACACTAATCTTCCAGACCTCAGCCTCCTGAGTGGCTAGGACTAGAAGCATGGTCTGGGAATGTGGCTTATTGGTAGAGTGCTTGCCTAGCATGCATGAAGCCTTGGGCTCAATTCCTCAGAACCACATAAACAGAAAAGGCCAGAAGTGGTGCTGTGGCTCAAGTGAGACAGCGCTAGCCTTGAGCTGAAGAGTGCAGATACAGAGCCCAGGACCAGATTTCAAGCCCCATGACCCAAAAAAAAAAAAAAATACACCAAATGCTAAAAGAGGTATTTATTACATATTACCTGATACATAAAAATTTTATACTAAGACTAGAAATACCATGTATAAAAATAGCTTAATGCAGAAAGACAAAGAGATAAGCAGTAATTTATGATATGAAAGTGGTTTATATTTTTCCCAGGGCAAGTCATAAGTTTGAGCAATTGTGAATTTGAACACAGGAAGTATATGAGTTTGAACATTTGTGTTTGAATGTAGCAGTTACATTCACTTTGGCAGGATTCTAGTTCACTATTATTTTGTTTGTGTGCTTAAAATAGAGAAAGGAGGGAAAAATCACAAGATCTCTAATGAGTACATACCTCAAAACTGACAGGCATATTTCGCTTCAGAGCAATTTCAAACACTAAGCTGATCTCAGATTTATTTGCATCTTTGTCATCTTCCATTTCTTTTCCTGATTCACCATTCTAAATCACCAAAAAAAGGATAATTTTAAATCCTGACTTTATGATAAACCTTAAAAACATATTCTAACTAGGAAGACCTAGCTAAAACATAAAAGCAACAACAGACCACAGACTGTACCTGGAAGCTTCTCAAGAAACCACAGTAATCAAAGGTTTTGCTGCCAGGCTTTTTGTTATTTGTAGAGGTATTTAGTGCTAAATTTGGAAATCTTTTACTCATCATACACTATTTTGAATTATCCTACATCCTTAAACCTATTCTCTTGTTAGAGATCTCTACCCACCTCCCACTCTACCCTAATTCCATACAATTCCTCTACTGCTGTTCTAACACGATCTATGAAGACCATATAACACAAAGAGTACTGTATACAAGTCTAGCTATTTAAGATCTGTCTGGCACTGGCACATAGCCACTGTCATCTGTGCTGAGCACAGTATAAGTATTCTAGATACAAAGTGACAGAATTCCTGCTGTCAAAAGCTTATCATCTGAGGCTGGGAAGGTGGCTCAGTGGTGTCTTGCAAGCTCTGGGTTCAATTCCTGAGCACCACATAAACAGAAAAGGCCAGAAGTGGCACTGTGGCTCAAGAGGTAGAGTGCTAGCCTTGAGCTGAAGAGCTGAGGGACATCACCCAGGCCCAGAGTTCAGACCCCACAACTGACAAAAAAAAAAAAAAAAGCTTGTCATCCAATTGAAAAACAGATAAATGGTTTAAGAGTTATAATCTAACTCTGATGTTAAAACAAAGTAGAAAGAGCAGCATGTTTGGGGAAAAAGAGTAATTGTAAAGATTCAACTGTTGAGTTTGAGTCCAGTAAGATATAACTCAATTGGAGGTACTATTTTTTTAATTATGTTTTTTATTGTGAAAATACTGTACAAAGGAGAGGTATTATTTTGATGTCCATGGAGAAAGTAGCTGAAACCATGAGAATAGGTGAAATTACCCAAGACTAGGCTCAATATCTCATTTACAACATAAAGTAGGACTCAAAAATCCATAAAGGCTTCCATTACTTTAAATACCTTGCTTCTAGGCTAATACAGTATAACCAATGCTCAATAAACATAGTATTAAATGCATGGAAAGCTAATTATATCTCATCCTGATACAAATATCCTCAAATCTGGAGTTGCCCCATGGAAGCCGAACTCCCCAGGTGAACCCAAGTTTTGAAATGTAAAGCTCTCAAGGCAAGAATACATAAGTTCCTATTTAGTTACCTCGTTGTTTACCCAGCAGTAAGTCACCAGGTAATAGAAGCAAAGCTTAGCAGAGTATCACTCTAGTATTCTTCCCTTGCAGAACAGATAATTTCTGTTATCTACATAATGCGCTTATTTTCTGGTCAAGAATCCCCCTGGGAAAGCAGAAGTAAGACTGGTCTCATGCAACAAGTACCCACCTGAGATTTTTCTGGAATTGGCTCATTCTGCAGTGCCTGAAGGGCTTTCATTGCAGCATTGTGTCTTGCAGCTTGTCGGGTCTTTCCTTCCCCAAAAAATTCATTATTTCCTACAGTGAGTTGAACATAAAAGATCTTGGGCATTGGACAATGGTACCTAAAACAAGAAAACAAAAATATTAGTGTTAGTTCAATAAAACCACTTTACAATCATTAGTAAAATTTGTTTTAAGATATTACCAACTGCATAATGTACTATATATCCTCTAATCTTAATAAAACTTTAACCTCATGAATATATTTATGATAAAATTTGAGTCAATATCTGTAGAGAACAGTGCATATCAATTTCATGAAAACATACGGAATGCCACATTAAACAAAAGCAAATACAGTAAAAAAAAATTTTATTGAATCATAGAAGACTTCCTGCTGAGTTTTCAGATTTTGGTAGATGTGAGCTGAACATTCTGGAGCTGGGGGTTAGGGGGGTGAAGGGAGACTAGTACAGAAGCTGGGAGTCAGACCATCCAGTGGACACTGTGCACATGACTACACTTTTAGCAGAAGACAATTCTCATCATAAACATAGGAACAGGGAGTTGGATGAAGAGGAATAAGAATATCACAATGTAGAAAAGAATATGGAATGTATGCCAATTCTTTTCAAATATTTTTACTTAACACAGTAATTTACATATGAATAGAATAAAGTATGACATTTCAATATATGCACCCAATGTGTAATAATCAGATCAGGGTAACTGGCACCTTATCACTCAGACATATATCATTTCTTTGTGCTGAAAATATCCCAAATGCTCCCTATTTAAAATATGCAATTAACTATTGTCAACTGTAGTTATCTTACTGTGATACCCAGGATACTAAAAGTTACTCCTCCTATCCAATTAAACTCCTTTCTAGGCTCTGTAACTACTCTTCTATTTTCTGCACTTCCTTGACATAAATATATGTAAGAATGCATAGTATTTTTCTTCCAGTGCCTGATTTGTTTCACTTAACATAGGCCCCTGAATTCCATCTCTGTTGATCTATATAAAAGAATACAATTCTTTTATATAGATCACTGAATAATATATCTATTATATTATATACCATCTTTTTGTGGTACTGAGGATTGAATTCTATACTTCAAACTTGCTAGGCAATTGCTTTATCACTTTAACTGTGCCTCCATATTTTTGTTTTTTTTTTTAGTTTATCAAATAGGATCTCACTTCTTTTGTTTTTTTACCAGATCTGACTCAAATGATGATACATACTTCTGTCTCTACTGCCAGATACCTAGGATCGCAGGCCTGCATCACCATGTCCACCTTGTTTTCAAGAGGCTTAACTAACTTTTGCCTAGGCAGTCTCAAACCAGGATTCTCCTATTCTTACCTAGGATTACATAGTATGGACACCTCTCTCAGTTTACACATTTTCATCCATCAAATAAGCAACTAAGTCAATTCCAAATCATGGCTACCGTGAATGGTTGGGTAGTACACGTAAAACAATGATGTTCCTTGAACATACTAACTCCAGTTCCTCTTTTTATATACCCAGAAGTGGTACAGATAGATTGTGTGGTAATTCTCTTTCTAGTTTTTGGGAACTTCCACATTTTCAATAACTGCATCAATGTATATTCCCACCAAGAGTGAGAAGTTCCCTTTTACTACATTCTTGCCACCACTTGTCATCTCAATAAGGTTTTGATTTGCATTTCTCTGGTGACTACAGATGTTGAGCAAATGTTCAGGTCAATTCTTAAGAAATATCATTATTAACAAATATCAAATTATTAAATAAAATATATTTAAGTTTCAACTGAAAAAACTAGCAGATTTGTGTCTAATGAAACTGAGTCAGCAAAGTATGACTACAGCATTACAATAATGCAGACATGAGAGGATAGGAGAGATTGAACAAGTACAAACCTAGAAGAAATTAAGTAAAACCAAGGACACCCCATCAGCAGTTCACAGCTATAATCCTAGATACTCAACAACATGGTGAGATTCAGAGGATCATGTTCCAAGGCCAGCCCCAGACAAAAAGTATAAAAGACAGCATCTTCAAAATAACCAGGAAAAAAGCTGAGCTAAAGGCATGGCTCAAGCAGTACAACACAAACCAAGCAAGCGAAAGGCCCTGTAAACTTTAGTATAAGCAGAAAAAAAATTATCATAATATAAAGGGAGGGAAAGGAGACAAAAATCAAGAAGACAGACAAAAAGAGGAAGAAAGAGAGAGAGAAGAAAGGAAGGAAGGAAGGAAGGAAGGAAGGAAGGAAGGAAGGAAGGAAGGAAATGAAAGAGGGGAGGGAGGGAGGGAGAGAAGGAAGGAAGGAAGGAAATTATTAATTTGGCCAGGCCTTGGTGGTTCACATCTATAATCCTAAACATTCAGGAAGTTGAGATATGAGGATTACAGTTTGAAGCCAGCCTATCTCCAATCATCTACTCAGAAGAACTTGGAAGTAATGCTGTGACTCAAGTGGTAGTATGCTAGCCTTGAGCAAAAGAAGCTTAGCAACAGTGCCCAGATCCTAAGTTCAAGCCCCAAGTCTGGCAAAAAAAAAAAAAGTCTATTAATTCAACAAGTGGAGATGAACTGAACACATGGAGTGGCTTCTATATAGAAGGGAACTTTGACAAGAATAAAAGATACACTAAAGGGGCTGGGAAGGTGGCTCAGTGGTAGAGTGCTTGCCTTGCATGCCTGAGGCCCTGGGTTCGATTCCTCAGCACCACATAAGCAAAAAGAAAAAAGCCGGAAGTGGCGCTGTGGCTCAAGTGGTAGAGCGCTAGCCTTAAGCTGAATTGCTGAGGGACAGCGTCCAGGCCCAGAGTTCAGGCCCCACGACCGGACCCCCCCCCGCAAAAAAAATACACTACAGTGGAGAAGACAATAAAACAAATATGTACAATATCTAATAGATGAAATATAAATAAGGGAGGTAAGTTTTAGATAAAGTAGATAAGGAAGGATTCATTGAGAAAATGACAACTGCATAAAAATCTAAAGTATGGGAGAGTAAAACATGTCAGTATCTGGGACCAGGCATCTTAAAAAGCGAAATGTCAAGTACAATATGACCTGCTAAGCAAAATGAACCCCAAGATAGGGATACAAGAGGTTTTATCTTTGTTAATATTTTTAATGTATTTATAATGTACTATGTGATTTTTTTTGTTTCTTTTGTATGTTCTTTCCCCATGGTACAATCCCTGTTGCCACTGTATTTGATTCTGGTGCCCTGCATCTTGTATATACGTTTTTCTAATTTGGTGAAGGGAAGGGAAATAACAAAATGCTGAAATAAGAATACAGGATGACCCATTGTAACAATGAGATGTACAAGACAGTATGTTGAAAACAAACTTTACAACTTTGTGGAAGTGGGGGGTGGGGGGTCGGAGAGGGGAGGGAGGAGTTGGGGAGGTGGGAGAAAAGGGATGGTAGGGGAAATATAAAGGAGTGTGTAACAATGCTCCATAGGAAATGGACTCGTTACCTTGATCATGTAACTGTAACCCCTCTGTACAGTACCTTTACAATAAATAAATAAACATATATATATATATATATATATTACAAAGGTCCTGAGGCAGCATTATGCACACATGTTCAAATAACTCAAAGAAGGCTCATCTTGCTAGAGTTGAGAAGAGGAGGAAAGGAAAGCTAGAAGATTAAAAAGATGGTCAGATTTAGGCTTTCCCTAAAAATCATTTTAAAAGTCTGGCTATTACCCTGAGTGAAATGGCCTGCTTTTCTGAGAAGAAAATAAACATTATTTACCTTACACTGTAGAAGAATCATCTACTATGTTGAGGTCAGGCTGGAGGAGAACAATAGTGGAAGCAAGGATATCTAATTGTACACTACTGAGAAAGTACAGGGAAAGGTGACAGTGGCACAAACCAGAATCTGATAGTGAAAGTCAGAGAAGGTGTTGGAGTTTGCACAATTTTTTAAATGTTTTTTATTGTGAAAATACTGTACAGAGGGGTTACAATCACAGAAGCAAGATAATGAGTACATTTCTTATCAAGCATTGTTGCCTCCTCCTTTGTTTTTCCCCTACCATCCCTTCCCTCCCATCTCCACAACTACATTCCCCCCCCCCCGCTCCCACCGGCCCCCCCACTCCCCCCACCTAAATTGTAAAGTTTGTTTTTCGACATAGTGTCTTGTACATCTCATTCTTACAATGGGTCAACCTGTATCCCTATTTAAACAATTTGGTTTTATTCCTTCCACTCCCCAAATTATATCAACATCAAATACAGTGAAAACGGGAGTTATACTGTGGGGGAGGGACATACAAAGCAACAAAAAAAAAAATCACATGGTACCTTGTAAATATGTTAGAAACAAGAGCAAGAAAGAAAAACCACTTATGTCCTTATCTTGGGGTTCATTTCACTTAACATCATTTTATATGACCTTTTCTGCTTGTCTCAGAAATATACTACTTACTTATTGCAAATAAGGGAAACCATGGGACCTATGTTTCTTTGGGCCTGGCTTACTTCACTTAATGTAAATTTTTCCAAGTCTTTCCATTTCCTAACAAATGGGGCAATGTCATTCTTTCTGATGGAAGCATAGAATTCCATTGTGTATATATACCACATTTTCAAATCAACAAAAGAAAGAGTTGGTTCTTCGAAAAAATTAACAAAATTGACAGATCCTTAGCAAATCTTATCAGAAAAAGAAGAGTACACACCCAAATAAACTCAGAGATGAGAATGGAAACATCACCACAGAAACAACCAAGATCCAGAACATTATAAGGGAATACTCCTCAAACCTTTATGCTAGGGCTGGGAAGGTGGCTCAGTGGTAGAGCGCTTGCCTTGCATGCCAGAGGCCCTGGGTTCGATTCCTCAGCACCATATAAGCAAAAAGAAAAAAGTCAGAAGTGGTGCTGTGGCTCAAGTGGTAGAGCACTAGCCTTGAGTTGAAGAGCTGAGGGACAGCACCCAGGCCCAGAGTTCAGGCCCCATGACTGGACCCAAAACAAACAAACAAAAAGCCTTTATGCTAATAAGTTTGAGAACCTAGAAGAAATGGAGGATTTCCTAGCAAATATCGACATACCAAAACTAAACCAAGATGAGTTAAACCAACTTA